AGATATGGGCAGCTTCAGATCATCAGGCAAGTGGAAGGATTCCGAGGTATTCCCTTGAATGTTTAGGTGGTGGGTGCACTACAGGTGAAAGAACAGATTGTTTGGAGATGGAAGGAAAATGAGACGTCTAAAACACATCTGAGCAGAAATAGCAGTTAAGCAAATGGACGTCATACTTGCTGGGCATATACTGAGCTATGACCCTCAGTTTCCTTATTCTTCTAAAGAAGATGGGTATGACACTGCATGCCTGTAAACTCAGAACTAATGAAGTTGAGGCAGGAGATTGGTGAGTTTGAGGACAGCCTAGGCTACCGATCTCAAATAAACAAACAACAAAAAAAAATGAGCTGGGAATACAGCTGAGTAGTAGAGTGCTTGTTTCGAATACACTGGTCCTGACCTCAATCCCCAGTACTCCCTGATGGGGCATAAAAATGTAGTGCTACCTACTTTCCAGAGTTGTTACCAGGAATAAAAGAAAGTGGATGACTCTAATGGTACCTGGCCCAGTGAACTGCCAATGTGAGGTGCTGAATACATGGAACCTATTATTATTTCTCTTGCTTGGCTGCTGCTTTCCTTACCCTCCTTTATTTCTTCTCTCTCTTTTGCCTCCCTTTGAAGGAGCTGTGGCAGGGGAGAGGCACTGGAAGAAGGCTGTGGTTGTCTGTGACTTCCTGGGTTTCCATTAAAATGAGCTAGAGAAGGATTTTAAGGCAAGGACAAGGAAATGCTGGGATGTGGCTTCTAGTCTATGGATTCAGTTCTTGAGGGATGTTAGCCAGTGCTTGGCTGAGAGGCAGTCTCAGGGGGTTGAGAACTCTATTCTTAGAGAGCTGGTAGCTGGGAGACTCAAGGAAGCCTTTCTGAACTCTCCCTGCAAAGGCCACAGGGTGTTAGTAATTCATCTTCAACTCATTTCACCCACCTTCTCCTTTACTCTCACCTTCTCTTGTCTAGTGCTAGAAAATGCACCCAGCTCCTTTCCGCTTAATCGTCATCCCTAAAAAGACACTGTGACCCCTCTGTCCTTGCTAGTGTCACACGTTGCCATGGAGAACTGGGAGGGTAAAAATCTGCTTACAGTTATCATCTTTCTGGTACTCCCCATTCCGCATCCCTTTCTTCCTAGACATCCCTTACTCTCAATCACCACACCCTTCTCACCCTCCCCTAGAGAGCTTAAATCCTGGTGGATAGGTGACCATATCGTGTGCCTGAAAACCCCTGTCAAGGACTGAGGATGCACTGAAACTGATTTTAGTTGTACCTGCTGCTGCAGGAGGCCAACAGAGACAGCCGCCAGGGGCGAGGCCAGCTCCTGGCTCCTAGGTCTCGCCCCACCCCCTCCCCTGTCCCTCTGCCTTCTCTGCCCCACCCATCTCCACCCCCTCCTACTCCACTCCCCTCTAGCGGCCACTTGTCCCTTTTAAGGAACTCCACCCTAGGTGGAGTCCTCATGGTAGTCACACCTCTCTTCTGGGCCTAGTCTGCCAGAGAAAGAACTAAGCACTCCACCTACTCAGGTTGCCCAGCGAGCGCGCCAAGCTCTGACCCCACGGGCGTGGTGTACCAGTAGGGCGGCCAGGTACCACCGGGAAGTCTCTCTGGCGTGCTCCAGCGGGAGTGCCTCCCACTCGCGTGGGAGCCCCTGCCCTGGGCCGGTGTTTTCCTATATGTTTCGACCAATCGCCGGCATCTTTTCCTCCTTTCTTTTTAGGAAGGCGCCGGGTGTGCAGCGCTAACCGCTGTGTGGAGGGGATTCTCTGGCGCTGTCTCCTTGTGGGTCTTCCCTGACTCCTCCGTCTCAACTTTGCGTTCAAGTCGTGATCTGAGGTTTGGGTGCTTTGCCGGGACCCCGCCCCGTCTCTCTCAGGAGGGTGTGAGGAGTTCTGAGGTGGGTGGAGAATGGGCTTGGCCGGAACTGAATCGGTTGAGGTAAAAGGGGAACGCTGGAGCTTTAGCGCTGGCCACTTCGCCCCGGAGAAGCCGCCGTATTTTTAGCACAGGGAAGGCTGCAGTGGGAGGATTCTTTTTAGGAAGTCTGCTCCGCCGCCCCGATTCGGGGCTTGGATGCTTAAAAGCTTTGTTTCCCTTGTTCCGAGGGTGGCCCAGTTGGGTCTGAGTCGACTCCCTCCCTTTTTCGTTTCCCCCATCCTTTTCCAGTCAGGAGAAAACAGAGAGGTGGGGGACCAAGGGAGAGGAGGCTAAAGCGCGTTGCCAGGCGCGCTGTCAGACATGGGCGGGTGTGAGGGGAACAGCTGTCTTGAGATCAGCTCAGTAGTCTGAGTCTCGGGGAGGACTGCATGATCTCCGGACACTTCAGGAGTCCTCAGCTAGAGACACAGGCGGTAAGTGACTCGGGAAAGAACCCACTCTCGTGTCCTCATAACTCCCTCCCCCCCACGCGTCGCCGCCACTGCCGCCGCCGCCGCTGCCGCCGCCGCCAACCGCACACACCCACTTGGCTTTGGGTTTTAGCAGTGAAAGTGGGATGGGGGGCGTGTGAGCAGAAGGGATAAGAACATTATGTGGAATCAAATTAAACTCGAGGGAAAATGACTTCCCTTAAGGATTGTGAAGAGAGACTAAGAGGAGGGGGTACTTCAGGGGGCCTTGTGGAAGAATTGAAAGGGGTCAAGAATGGATAGGTTTGTCTAGTTCAGTCTGTCCTGTCTTCGTGTCCTCAATTCTCCTTAAGTGGTTTGTTTTAACCCCATATATCCAAAGTCTCAGCAAGAGCAAAGAGAATTTGGAAGACCAGTGATCCCACTTACGTCACCCCCTCCCTTCCCCCAAGCAGTAGCAGGTACCTAGAGATGCTTCCTAAAAGAGGGAGGAGGGACTGCGAAGAGTTAAGTTGGGAGCCTGGCCTCTTGGTACTGATGGCAAGACCCCTTCAAGTAACCTCTGAGGAGGAGCTGGTTAGGGCGTGCCAGCTCTTTAAGGAGGGACTGAGCTTGGTTGCTGGGGAAAGCCAAAGCATAGCCCTGTCCAGGCTCCTTAAGATGTGGCCAAGAGGTTAGTTTGTGTAGGTGGATGATCAGCCGGAACTGCTGTGATTACTGGAGCGAAAGGACTTGCTTAGCCACAAGGTGAAGCTTTTTGTACTCTTTTGACCCTAAGAATTTTAAAGACACCAAATCACATCCTAACAGGTGGCCAGGGGAACATTACCATATTTTCTCTAATATTACCATCATTTCGGAAAAATATTATAAAGCACTTGTATACTAATTAGTATGTAAGAGTGAGCGAGAAAAGAGAATAATATCTAAATTTGGATTTTAAGCTGAAGATTGTTTGGGATAATAAAAAGATCTACTTTGAAACCCTCCTATCACCACTAACTGGTTGTATGATGTTGTATCTCTGTAGGATGCATCTTCTTAGTCAAAAGATACATATGATATATGCTGCCTGTACGTGCTGTGTTTTTCACTTTCTTTTCCGACACTTTGGGGTTTTCTCTCTGTAGCACTGCTGGTCAAATTAGTACTTTGTTGTCCTTAAAACACCTTTCAGACGAAGGGAACGAAGACCTGTGCAGTTGGACTAGTTTGCACAAAGACAGGCTGGAATATATGTCTTGTTTGTTTGTGATTTAACATTGTTCCCACTGGATTTTATCAGCTTCAAGAGAAAAGGCCACTAATCTGCCTATCTTCTGAGTCTTTGGTCAGTTTAACCAAGATGATGTAACCAGCAGGACCTTTGGACAGAAAATCAGTGACTCAGATATGACTTTACCCTCTTCTTCAAAGTTTGGGGGTAACCCTTATGAGAGAGACATTAATCCTTGGGAACTGCTGAAGAGACAGGCTAGGCACAGTGTATCTTCATGTTAGCTTAGAGAGCAGCTAGGCAGAATCATAGGACGGGTGGAAATATAACTTCAAAAGAGTAAGTGACAAATGTAACTATCCAGTCTGTTCTCAAGACCAAACTGCATAGAGGCCTGGTCTACTTTCGAAGCGTCAGGATTCTCTAGAACCCTCTTGCTTTCAGAGCTCGTAGGAAAGAAAATTGGTGGGAAAAAATGATCACTACAACCACCCTTGATTTTCTGGTCAATGCATTTCAGAGATGTGGCTCTTAGTGGTTCTGCTGTTTGATTTTTTTTAATTGCCAAGATCCCAAAACTAGATAGTATTAGTTGTTACAGAATGTTTTGTTTCTCATGTGAAGAGGTGGAGATCGACTACTCATGTTTTTGTACTCTGGCAGTGACTTATTAATGTTTGTTACATTTAGATGCTTTATTTATTTTCTTATTTATATTTTCATTATATTTATTTATGTGCTTTTGTATGTATCTGGATGAGTAAATTGCTGCCTATGTGAAGAAACCAGAATTACTGGTGATAGTGAGCTGCCCAACGTGGGTGCTGGGAACGAAACTTGGGTCCTCTGGAAGAATAGGAAGCACTCTTCACATGGAACCATCACTCCAGCCTGGGACATTTATATGTTTACCCTTGCTTTGAGTCAGTTGTGATTTATGAACTCACTTAAGCTGTTGCATGAAGGAAAAACAGTTTGGGAATACACAATTCATTTAGCAAATTGACATACTGGATGTTGGGCTTGGGAAAAATGGTATTTTGCTTGTTTATTTCTTAGTATCATTGGTTATTGAAACTAGTATCTGGTATATCTGGCATTCCATTGAAATTTAAAAATGGGTAACAGGGTCTTACACCACGCTGGCCTGACTCTTAATCCTCCTGCCTCAGCCTCCTGAGTGCTAGAATTCTAGGCATGAACCATAGTAACCACTGAGAAGTTTGGAAAGCTCATTTCATTTTAAACCTCTGCCGTATTTTGGTTATTTGTATTCATAACTAAGCCCCAGGTCCCTTTGAGACCGAGAGCTACTTGATTACACTCAATATCATTGTATCTTCACAGTACTTACCTAATTACCTTTCCCTTGTGAACACTTGGTACATATTTTGGAGATTGTGATCTAAGGTCTTATTCTTTTTTAGTGTTTTGAGACACGGTTTCTCTGTGTAACAGTCCTGACTGTCCTGGAACTTGATCTGTAGACCGAGCAGGCCGGCTTAACAGAGATCGTCTGCTTCTGCTGAGAGCTGCGATTGAAGGCGTTCACCACTACCACCCGGGGGCCTACGGTCTTATTCTAAACTGCCATATTTTTTGTAAGTGAAGAGAAAACTGGCTGGTGTGATTGACCTAAATGATCATCCAGTGTGGTTACAATTTAACCACTAAGTAGAGTATAAATTGATGAGTGTTATCTCTCCGTTCAAAGACAAATTGAGACCATGTTTGGTTTTCTTTCTTTCAGGCTGATGTTATTTATTTAGATTTTATAAGTAGAAGTAGGATTTCTGTTCTTTTTATTAACCTCAACTCAGCTTTATCATTTAGCCTCTTATTTCTCAAATGATATGGTCCTTTGTAGTTGTAAATAACGTACTTAAGTGAAGGGTCTCACCAATTTTGCTCTATTGTCTTACTTTAATGTTGTCTGTATGAAGGGGAGATGTCTCATATAAATTATTGAGCAGGAAGTTAGTTATAAATGTCCAGAACATGCTAGGCGGTCTATATAATATGCTAAAAGATGTTATCTGTATGTTTAAGTTTTTAAGAAGTGCAATGTGAATTTTTTGGTATTTTTATGGTGATAGGATTTGAACTTAAGAGTCTTGCATATATTAAGTGTTCTGCCATTGCTGCTTTCCTAGTCTGTGAGAGTTTGAAGGTTCAATAATGTAATGCTAGTACCTTGTCAAGATATTTCAAACCTTCCTGGTAGGGGCAGTGGCAGCCTCAGTGCTGCTGCTGTTGCTGCTGCTGCTGGTGGTGGCGGCGGAGGCAGCATTGGCGGCAGTGGCCGAGTCAGCATTGGCAGAGACAGACGCCACACACCTTTGATCCCTGTACTCCCCTCCAAAGGCAGGCAGACAGGCGGATCACATAGCTTGAGGCCAGCCTGGTCTGCAGAGTGAGTTCCAGGACAGCCAGGGCTGTCACACAGAGAAAACCTGTCTTGAAAAACCAACTGTCTCCCCCCACGGAGATATTTCAAACCACTAAAATTTTGGCATTTTTCTGTAACCACCACCTTACCATTTCTAAAATAGAGCCTATTCCCATCCATAGAGTTACCCACTGCTCATTCAAGACTTTCCCTTCCCCTTTCCCTGTTCTACAACTTGCCATTAACATAACCTTGGTGAAGTTATTTAAACTGTGCGTTTGAATGTTCTCCTCTGTGTATTAGGGAAAGACTACTTGGGATTGAATGGCACTGAGGAACATAGTGCTCACTGTGAAATGCTTGTGAAAATTAATTTTGTGAAAATGCTTTAAAGAATTTATGAAAGCATAAAGTATAAGCAGTGAGAAAATATAGTTGTAGTTGTTGTGCTTTTCATGTCTTTTGCACAAAATACAAACTTTTTCTTCTTTCTTAGTTTCCTTATCCATCTAGTTGGCAAAGTATTTTGTTGCCTGTCTTTGTTTCCTAACTACTTTTTTTAAATCCTAAAAGCTGCCACAATCTTAATTTAGACGAGAGGCTTAAATAATTAGCCTATATACCAATTTCAGCTCATACAAATGTTTTGTTTTCCCTAAAATTTTTTAAACTCTCACTTAACAGATATTTATTTTTTCTTTAGTACATAACATTCCATATGACTCAAGACCCAACATAAAAAAAGGTTACACAATGAAAACTGCCTCTTATTCTTGTCCATTAGCCACTTACTCTTTCTCAGGGGAGGCAACTAAAGTTATTAATTTACTGTGATTCTTTGTAGAGATATGAAAGTATATCAAATAATGAATACACACATGCACATTGTTCAACTTTTTTCCTTTTGTAATTCTTTTAATTTGATTCATTTTTCTGTTTTGTCTTTATGCATTTTAAATTAAAATATAATTATATCACTTTCCTTTTTCTGTCTCTACATGTTTATTCGCATTTTTAAATCCCTTAATATTTTTAACTTAATTTTGAGATTGTAACTTAATTATATTTCCCTCTTCCCTTTTATACATAAATAGTAACGCATTCTACATATTGTTCTACCATTTGCTTTTTCAACTTAAAAATATACTTTGGAGATATTTCCCTATAGGTTTATAAGAATTCCTCATTGTTCTGTGTGACTGTACAATTTTTTGTACTGTATTGTTAGACCACAATTTATTTAACCACTCTTGTATTGATCAATGTTCATGATATTTCAAAAAGTCTGTAGTGTTTCTAATAGGAATGAAAACTCAGTATGTAGTATATATAGAACTGTTATAACAAACTATCAGTAACTGGGTGTTCTAAACAACAGAAATTCTATGTCTCTAGTTCTAGAGGCTAGAATTCAAAGACCAGGGTCTCAGCATAGGTGGATGTATCATGAGAGCTGCTTTCCTAACTCCAAGATGACTGCATTCTTAGCTGTATTCTCCATGTCTTTCTTTGTTTAAGTGAAGAGACAGAACTCTCCTGTGTTTCTTGATCTTCTGTGATTAGAGCACACACCTGTATGACCTCATTTACTTTTAATTATTTCTATAAAGGCCATATCTCTAAATTTAGTCACCTCAGGAATAAGGGCGTTCACGTATGAATGGGGGGCATCAAGCCACTTTGCCTAATCTCATACTCTTAAAAATTGGCTGACTGCCAACATTTTAAAGTTGGATTTCATTTAAAATCTGGATTCCATTTCCTTTCAAGTAATTAGATGATGGGATAAAGTAAGATTTTACATGATATTTGAGAGCAATGAGTCTTTGCCACTGTGGCCTTATATTCTTTTTCTCAACTGATACTTAAGTGCTGTGTGCCCATTGTGATTGCTGCACATTTATGATTAATACCACAATCAGTGAGCACCTTTACTCTCTTTGTCAATAATAGAGCTTATTGTGAAGGTATGAAAGCACCCCATTATTGTTTTCAACTGTTCCAAAATGCAAGGGTGTAGTTTTTTTAGTTAAAAATTTTATTCTTTGCATATTTTTTCACATGTATATAATGAAATTGAACATATCTTTTCCAACTTTCCTCCATATGCCCCCACCCAACTTCATTTCCTCATCTTAAAAAAAGAAAAAACCAAAAACACTAAGTCTACTTAGTGCTACCGATGTGTGCTTGGATGTGGAGCCATCTACTGGAGGGAGCGTGTGCAACCTACTAATGGCCACACCCCCAAAGTGTTTCACCTACAATAGCATGTTAGTTAGAGGCAGAGTCTTGTGGGATTCTCCATGCATGCTGGGCTTTTGTAAGTATTGTGCAGGTAACCATAGCTGCTGGGAGTTCATGTGTGTAATAATCATGCCATCTCAAGAAGAAAATGTTCAAGTATTTTTAGGTAGAAAAAGAGATTTTGGATTGAGCATCATACCTGATTAGTTCAATCATTTCCATCTTGCATGGCTTTAGCATTGCTTAATTGCTCAGATCCTATATTTCCTTGTGTGTGTATGGCATCAACAGTACTATCTGATTTATGCTTGTATAAGAGAAAAATGGGACTTAATAATCATTATCTGAGAAGAGGCCAAATGGATGAAAACACTAGAGGCTATGCTACTTGCTATCTGCATGACTGAGAAGCATGCAGATGTTGCTGCAGAATGTGAACCTACAGAATTGTGAAGATAAATTGATTAACAAAATAATAAGAATCCTTACAATGTGACTGTATTTTTGCACCTTTTGTGATTTTCCTGATGGAAGTAATCCTTGGTACTGGAGAGATGATTCAGTGGTTAACAGCACTGGTTGCTCTTCCGGGGAACCCAGGGTTAATTTCCAGAAGCCACATGGCAGCTCACAACTGTCTGTAACTCCAGTTCCAGGAGGCCTGACACACTCACACAAATAATATGTGTGGGCAAAACACCAATATACATAATGGTTGTGAGGATAAAATGAGCCAATCATGTATTTATTCTTTTTAACAGGAAAACAGTGCCAGAGCTGGGGGTATAGCTCAGTGGTAGAGTACTTACCTAACATGTCGAAGGCCCTGCATTCTGTACTATTTACTGCAGCACTCTCAAAAAGCAAACAAGCAAAAGAAAAGGAAACAAAAACAAAAGCGGTAACCTTGTCCCTTTATACTTCATTAATACCATGCTATAGGTAAACAGTGAATCTGAATGATATCCTAAGTCCCTTTTCCAGCACTAACATAAACCTGTTTTCCTACAAGATATATAATGCATCAATGTGGAAAATATATGTGTGGTACTTAAACAAATTTGGAATTTCAAAATTCTAAAACGTTGCTTGCCTGCTTGCCTGCCCACCATCCATCCATCCATCCCCTTGTCCCTCCCTCCCTCCCTCCCTTCTTTTTTTTTTTTTTTTTGGTTTTTCGAGACAGGGTTTCTCTGTATTGTTTTGGAGCCTGTTTTGGAACTCACTCTGTAGACCAGGCTGGCCTCGAACTCAGATCCACCTGTCCCTGCCTCCTGAGTGCTGGGATTAAAGGTGTGTGCCACCACTGCCAGGCTCATTTGTATACTTATTTACATAAGAAATCCTACAATAATCTATGTGTTGGTGCTATTAATATTGTCACAAGGAGCTCAAAATCCCTTGCCCAATTTGTTATTATCACAAAGTTTGTTATTATTACAAAGTTTTGAGCTGGTAGTGTTTATAATCCAAGCACTTCAGCAACCAAGGCAGGGAAGGAGGTTGTTATGAGTTCCAGGTTACCCTGGGTCACAACATAGTAAGACCCGCCCCTGCACCCCTGCAAAGAAAGAAAGGAAGGAAGAAAGAAAGAAGTAAGAAGAGGGTGATTTGCATATTTGGAGCCAAGATATAACAGCATGAAAAAGTAAACAATGAACTTAATATCAATTATTTCATCTGTTGAATGTCAGGAAATGAGGAAATCATTCTTAGTTGAAAAGCAGTAATATACATGGAAACCTCCTTGGGAAATAAAAGGAAGACTTCTGTCTCCAATTTCATTTGACAATTCAGAGGCTATATGAGGCATAACCCTACCAGTTTGGACTCTGCGTGAGTTAAGCATGTAATAGCGAGTATTGATCTGAGGGTTAGATGCCTAGGAATCACATTTTCTGACTTGAAAATGTGTTTGTCTTTGCATAAGTCAACTTGTCCATCTCAAATGACAGGATTTCACATGGTCTTTTGCAGAGCACTGATGTTTCTATAGCGCCTCCCAGGGTTAGAACAGTGGGGAAAATGTATAGTAAGGAATAAGAGCAATTTGGACCAGAACTCAGAAAACTTTGACTTCTAACATTTAAGCTCTTACCACATATCGCTGTGTATTCTAAGGACCAAGGACATTGTCTGAAAAACTATGATAGATGTTCAACATATTTCTGAAGGCTTATCATGACACTGACAAAAAGAAGGAGCAAGGGATCATGCATGATATTTTATACTTGTAATCCCAGCTTTTGGCAGGGTAAGGCAAGAGGATTTGCTTGTGTTAGAGACCAGGCTGAACTACACAGTTGAGTTCCAGGCCATCCTAGGCTACAGTGTGAAACCCTGTCTCACTCTCAGTGAAAGAAAAGGGGAGCAAAGAAAGGATGGAGGGAGGGGGTAGGTTTCCTGTTAAGGACAAGGTTGGGAAAAAATGTAGGAAACTGTAGGGAGAGATTTTAGATACTTGCGACTACACATTACAGGAAACCATGAAATAAAATTGAAGAAGTTATATTAGAACATTCAAATGATGCCATTAACATGACATGAGAGATGTTAGAAGGAGTAGCTAAGCGTTTTACAATTCCTAACTTGGACAAAGAGGTTGTGGTGGGAGAAAAACAGTATTATGTCAGATAATTCTCTTGTGATCGGGGGGGGGGCACTCAATAGCTGAAGAGCTTGATTGGTTGCTGCCAGGAAAGCCTAGAGAAGGGTTACAGAAGTTGTTTTTTCCTTTGCATTCATATAGCACCCTTGACGGGTTGTTATATCTAGCTAGGGCTAGTTACAAGTGATCTCCTGTCTGGCCTTTTTAAGATAGGACAGGGTTGAGGAGGCACAAGTGTTATCTGAAATTGGCTGGCTAATTTGTCAGTAAGCTGTAGATTTTGCTTTGTTTCCTTAGCTTCTATTTTCCTCTCTGGTGAAATTGGACCGTGAATAAAGCAAACAAAAGCTGTTACAGAGGAAAACATAGGTGCTTTTTATGGGATGACTGATTCAAGGTATTTGAATGAAGCCATTAGCACATCTCTTCATAAGAGAAACAGCTGTGTACAGAGGAAGATGAAAACTGCTTTTAAACATGCTTGGCTTAGAGATTCAAGATGTATAGATAAATTGGTGTGTTGGTTTGTCTTTGTACATATATCACTAGAGCAAATACCCATATAGTAGTTTAAAAGTCCTTACTGAAAACAAGAACTGGACCAGGATCGGAAATTTTTTGAAGCTATGGAAGTATAGTGATAGTCACCAAAATAGGCCAGGATGGAGAGGCTGGAAGAAATAGATTCACTTACATGAAGGAAGGGAAGTACTTATAGGAAGTAGGCGGCTAATATACAGAACAAATGATGTTCTTTCCTGTGAGTAGATTAGCTTAGAATGTTTTTGTAACTTCAGTATAAATTTAGTCTAAAAAACTTTATATAGGTGAAACCAAGTATACATATCGTACTCTATGCATATAATGGGGACAATATTGTTCTAAAAACTATTTTCCTTTTGTATCTTTCCTAGATATGGATCGACTCATAAACAACTTAGAGGTCCAGCTTAATTCAGAAAGTGGTTCAATGCAGGCATACAAACAGGTGAGCTTTGTGAATTGAATATCTCTTAAGCATTCTAGAATTTCATGAAGCCCCATTTTCAAATGGTATGTATGGAAAATGAGAAGGGATAAAAGAAGGTAGCTTTTTCCAATATTGACTTAATGTCTGGGTGTGAATTTCAACTATCTGGCCTCGAAGAAACAGGTTCTATTGTCCCTGTAGTCTTTGGTAAAGAGCTACGATCATTTGTTTACCACTATTCCAAATTTCAGGTATGGTGAAGATTGTGTGCTTTGTTTAACTTCTTCAGTAGCCATGTTGAACAGTATATTAGAGTTTTCTAAAGAGGCATCCTGTTGACTCTGTTAACTGTTTCCCTGGAGAACCCTGCCTAGTACTTTGAGAGAAAGAAAGTAGAAAAAAAGGATAGAGACACGAATATATATATATATATATATATATATATATATATATTAATATATATATATTAATTTTAAGGAAACTGACTCCTGTGATTATAGCGGTACAGCAAGTCCAAAACCTGATAGACTGACCAGATCAGCAGACTACAGAGTTAGAAAGAGTTGCCACTTCGAGGTACCAAATGTAGTGGTACAAGGCTATAATCCCTATACTCAGCTTGAACCAGGAAGATGGTGAGTTCTAGCCCAAGGAGATCCTGTCCAAAAAGAAAAGCAATTCTTTGTTTCACTGTGAAAATCAGTCTCAGTGTCCTAGCTTGTTTCTGTTGTTATGGTAAACACTGTGACAAAAAAAAACAACATGGGGAGAAGTGGGTTAATTTATTATAGTTCACAATCAAGGAAGTCAAGGCACGAACTTAAAGGCAGGAACTGAAGCAGAGACCTCTGAGAAACACTACTTGCTTTCCCTCTCTTGCTTTGCTTGTAACTCAGGCCTCACCTGCCCAGTGATATCCCCTCCCAATCAGTCATTAAGAAATGCCCCCACTAACTGCTTGAAGACCAATCTGATGAAGAAAATTTCTCAATCTTCCTAGGTATGTCTATGATACTTAGTCTTTGTTTTATTTTTTTAAAGATTTATTTATTATGTATACAGTTTTCTGCCTGCATTTTGCCTGCAGATCAGAAGAGGGCACCTGATCTCATTACAGGTGCTTGTGAGCCTCCATATGGTTGCTGGAATTGAACTCAGGACTTCTGGAAGAGTAGCCAGTGTTCTTAACCTCTAAGCCATCTCTCCAACCCAGTCTTTGTTTTATTTAGGGCTTTAACAATTTATTAAAGCCTCTTCACTTTATGGAAATGGTTTACTCCAGGTCCAGTGATTTAAATATTTGTCCTATTGGGAAAAAGAGGTAATTGGGATAGTCAGCATCTTTAATCCTCTATTCAGGAGGTAGAAGTAATCAGATCTCTGAGTTCAAGGTCAGCCTGGTCTACATAGTAATACTATAAGAAAACTTCCTAAGTCAGGATGTTCATGGTACTTTCCGTTTTCTGGATTTCTATGTTTTCATACTGTACAAATGAGCACTTGGCTGTTGTCTATCTTTTGTTTCTAGTTTCTGGTTGCTTTCTTGAAGTGGAATCTCTTGGTTGAAACTTGTGAGTGCTTTATCATATTATACATGCCTCTTCCCATGCACATCCTGTGGCTGTTAACATTTTACAAATGTTCTGTTATAGTCCTCTCTCTCTCTCTCTCTCTCTCTCTCTCTCTCTCTCTCTCTCTCTCTCTCTCTCTCTCTCTCTCTCTCTCTCACATATGCACACACATACTTTTTTTCTACTTTAGAAAGTAAGCTGCATCAAGAAACTTTGTCCATCAGTAGCTGGGCATCACCTATAAATAATCCCACTCTTGTATAAAACTCTATCAGAACTGCCACATCCCCCAAATGAACAGTTTTTCCATAATATCTAATGCAAATATATATGCATTTCTGAGAGATTTTCAATGGCATATTTTTCTTAAACTTCTTTTTGTCTACTAGGACTGTGACTAAATGAGTCAGTCCAATCCTTACCACATTTAGGAGCCCACATTTCAATTCTATCTCTTCTATAAAATTTTCCCTGACAGACCAATGCCCATAAATCTCTAATGCACTCATACTCCCAGAATACTAATTGATTTCTATCAGTCATTCATGTAGTTCCATTCATTTCTTGTCCCGTATTGTCAGCTGTAGCATGGAACTATCTCACACCTTACTGTTGATGATTTTCATGTCCTAACAAACATTTCTTACTTGCTTTTTTTCCCCTTTTTTGAGACTTGTTTTAGGTGCATGTAAATGTGTGTCCTTATGGGGCATATGAGTTCAGATGCTCTGGAGGCCAGAGTCATTAGACCCTTTTGGAGCTAGAGTTACAGGTGGTTGTGAGCTGCCCTCCATGGTAATAACAAATTCATTCTCACAGAATCCTAGAAGTAGAAGTCTCAAAGCACGTTGTTACCACTGCCCTGGACCACCAAATTGTCATATCAGTTGTCAGGCAGAAATGGTTCCTCGACTTTTCACATACCTGGTTGATGCAGGCATTCTTTGTCTCATGGTCCCATCACTCTGGTTTCTACTTGTGTGTTCAAATCACCTCATTTTGTGGAACCTATAAAGAACTGAATTCCACCCCCTAGGTAATCCAAGTGGTTGCTTTAATATCCATAATTCTGTCTGTAATTATCCCTTTCCCAAATAGGTGGTTTTCATTGATTATGGGTACTAGGATGTGAATAGATATTTTCTGGGTGACCATCCTTCTGCTTGGTATAATATGTTACAACAAGCATATAGTTGTTACAATAACTTTGATGATGTATCACTAAATGCAGTCATACATTAAAAAGAAATTATTTCCTCTTCTTTTGGTTTCAAGCTAGGCACTAATATTTCCATGCTGTATAGTAAGTGAATACCTAGAATTCATATATGCAATTATGCATATATATACATATAAATTGTATGTGCATATGTATATTCTGTGGTTTTATCTCTGGTTTTTTATAGATTTTTTGGTTTGTTTTTGTTTTGTTTTTTTGAAAGACTCTTGTCATGTAGTCTAGACTGACCTGGAACTTAACATCCTTCAGCCTCAGTCCCCTGAGTTCTGGTATTACAGGTGTGTGCATTTTTTTCTATCTTTTACCCCCAAGTGTTTTTGTTAACATTCTAGTCTCTTAAAATTGTCACATTCATTAGTTTGTGTAAAGAGGAATTGTCCAATAGTCCTTTATTCCCTAATATTATTGAGATGGTGAAGATATAAGATTCAAAATTTCTCTAGGTTTAAATTAAATTTAGCTTTTTAATAATATTCATCTCCGTCGATTTTTCTCTAATACTGAAACACATCATGGCATTATTGGAGAAGGATTGGAATTACAGAGGGTTAAACTGGCTTTTCGACCAAAATAATGAATGTGCATAATATATGTGTACGCACACACAAGTGCACCCAGGCATGAAAATGATTAGTCTAAACCCAGAGCAAAGCTAGAAGAGACCTGTGTACAAAAACAGCTTTTATCTTTCTCTTGGGGAGGAGCCTGGGTTTTATCTTGTTACCATGACAACACTCCTTCCTCTCCTTTCTACTTACTGCGCTGCCTGCAGTATTTTGTTCTCTCATTTTCTTTCTTGTCTTGCCTTCCTACTTTAAAGCTCCACATCAGAGCTATTTCAGATAAATGAGAAGTAACAGTTTAGTTTTCCTCAGTTGATTTCCCCTAGTCTCCTAAAGTCAAGGCTGTCTTCATCACATGTTTAAGAGCTTAAATATTTATAAAAGTGACTACTTTTTTTCTGGATTTCTTTGTAGAATTGCCTTTCTCCATGATCTCTGCTAATTTGTCAATGATGAATTTAAGAAAAAAGCCAATTCACTCTTCTTGTTGGCCTTTCATATTTCTGCCAGTGTTCTTTACATCAGCCTTATAAAATACAGAAGTCTAATTGAAGAAAAGTCATAGAAAAATACGTAAATTTATTTGTTTCATAATTTATCCTCTATGTCCAGTTTGGTCACCTTGTTATGTAATATAAGTGAAATATCAGGATTTTTCTCCTGTGCCCTTTTTTGTCATTAAAATTAACACAAAATGTGAAAAAAAGAAAAATGCCAATTCAAATATTCTTTTAAAAAAATTGATTAGGATCCTGGGCATGTAAGGAGGACTATGGGAAGTAAAACATCTTTAAAACGACTCCCAAGTTTTTGGACTTTCCATGCACAGCTTTGTTCACAGAATCAGAAAGCCTAAAAAGCGGTAGCTTCAGGCTTTAAAATAGCAAATGGGGAAAGTAACCATTCTCTTTCTTTGCAGAGTGGTTAATTATTGACTAGAGAACACTCAAAACCTGAAACTGCCCCCACAGTATTAAAGAAAGAAAAAGATGAGTTAAGCAGAAAAATCTCATGCAGAGCTTTACATCAGTTTCCATATGAGCTATCAAACCTGTAGTTTTTATGTTCATTGAAGAATAGAATATGGAGCTACCTCTTAGGCAGTCACCATAATCCTGGGCTGTAAACTCATTCCTTACATCCTTCTTCTTTAGAATCTCCAAGTCTTTAGAATCTCTACATGCTGTGTAGAATGAGAAAAGAAAGTGGATCGTTCCTGTTTCTTTGTTTCGTTGTTGTTTATTTGTTTTTCCTTTTTAACCATGATGATTCTTTTATACACAATACAGGATAAATCATACTGCATATCAGGATTCTTACTAAAACTATTTTGATCACATTTAAAAGGTAATCACTGATACACACAAGCAAAACATTGCTTATACTAGTGGATAGATATGGAATAATTGTCTTTCAGTCACAAAAGTAAGAGGAGCCTTGATGGCTGCTTTTAACTGCAGTACAGTTTCTTAAGGAGCTTGCTTGTAGAAGCACTGACACCCAGGAACTACTTGCTATAGGCCAGATTCATGTCAATACAACAAGTGCATGTGAAATCAGTATGTCCAGGTAGAAAATGTAATGATATTCTTTATGGAAGATATTAAAACACTAGAATCTAAATAACCACCTTCTAACATTTGTCTCAAAGCCATGTGATGATAACAAGTAAGTACCATAGCAGACAATTTTAGTGAAAAATTGAGAATCTACAAGCACGCTTGGTCTGTACAAGCCCAACCCAGGATAGATAGTTTCAACAGGGTCTGTGGCATTATCTCTCATCGAAGCAATGAGGAGATACTCGTTTCTATGCTTTATTCCATTTCCTTTCTGGATATTCCTGACTAATGTTCAGGAGTAGCTATAGATCGAGGACTAGCTCAGCACAAGCCCTTGTGCTCATAGTATTTTTGTGGGCAGCATTCTTTGTCCTAGAAATGGCCTTGGCCAAAGAGGAAATTTACAAAATAGTCTCCACTTTGTATTTAATACTCAGAATTTTGACATCCTTAGAATTCCAGGCCTAAAGCATGGACCTAGAAAACCCATTAAAAAGTTTAACTAGGTACTTCCATATTATGTCTACTTATACATCAGCACCAATTATCTTATAGAAAATCATACATGTAGGGCTGAGAAGATGCCTCAGTGGTTAGTAGTGTATACTGCTCTTGCAGAGGATCTGAATTCAGTTGCCAGTGTCCATAATAGGCAGTTCACAACCACATGTAACTCCAGGTCCAGGGAATTCATTTCTCCATGCTTCTTCATATGCTTTCTTCCATCATTTCAGAAGCAATCTCATGCAATCAGTAATCATGTGTGGATCAACCCCCTTTGTGAAAGCGATTCAATAAAATTACGCTAGAAGGAGCAGGTGTGATGATGCCAGGTGAAGATTAGAGGATAAAGTTATCAAGAACTGCTTCACTGGGCCTAAAGAGATGACTCAGGGTTAAGAGTGCTTGGTGCCAATGTACAGGGCCTATGGGATCAGTTCCCAGCACCTGTCCTCCTCCACAGAAATCTAGACACCATGTGCACATACCCACATGTGCACACATACACATGCATACGTATTTCAAGATAAAATAAATCATGTGCACATACCCACATGTGCACACATACACATGCATATGTATTTCAAGATAAAATAAATCATGTGCACATACCCACATGTGCACACATACACATGCATACGTATTTCAAGATAAAATAAATCTTTTGGGGTGGGGGTTGAGACAAGGTCTCTCTGTGTAGCCCTGGCTGTCCTGGATCTCACTCTGTAGACCAGGCTGACCTTGAACTCATAGATTTGCCTGTCTCTGCCTCCCGAGTGATGGGATTAAAAGAGTGTGCAACCTCTGCTATGCTCATCTAACAACTTTTATTGTAGTTCCTTTCTCAGTATCATCAGAAGCCATGGTAAAAAAAATATGGAAATAGATGGCCTTCCTATTCTGCTTCAGATTCTTTTGATTGTACTTTTTTTTTAAGCCAGTGAACGAAGCTACTCAGGCAGAGACAAATAGGAATGTAGGGGAAAATGGCATCTTAAATTGATTTGGGAGATTGAGCAGTCAGTAAAGGATGTTTAATAAAATGGTTGCTTCTATAATTTTTATGTATATTTGTGTTCATGCCTGTTTGTGTGGCTACCTTGTATGTGCATGTGCCCACAGAGGTCAGAAGAGGACATTGGATCCCTTTGAGCTGGAGTTCCAAGTAGTTGTGAGCCACCTGATGTGGGTTCTGGGAACACCAAGCCATCTCCTTAGCCCCAGTGAAGCAGTTCTTGATAACTTCATCCTCTAATCTTCACCTGCTGCCACACCGGCTCCTGCTAGCTGGTTTACTCTACCCCTTTCACAAAGGGGTTAATCCGCATGTGATTACAGATTGCGTGCGATGCTTCTGAAATGATGGAAGAAACATATGAAGAAGCACAATGTGAAAACAAAACCAAAAAGATTAACACAAGGCCTGAGTTCAGATGGTGGCTTGTAAGTCAAGAAAACAATGTCTCAGCAAGCAGAAGAGAAAAAGCAGATGGAAGCCTGGCTCAGTTCTGGAGTATACATTCTTTTTCTGTGCCCACAGTCATTCCCAGAATGCTTCTGGGGTGTAGTCTGTGAGTGAAGTCATGGCAAGAGGACACAACCTCTCCATATTCCTCATCCCTTTCAGGATCCAGCTCCGTATTTTCTCTCATCAATTTTTAAAAAGTAGTTACTGCTGTGGTGCCATTATCCCACCTTATAATTAACAAAACTCTTTAATACCTCATGTTTTCAGTCAGCAGTCAAGTTTGTTTCCTCTCTTTAAATGCAGTATTATTCCTCTCCCACTGCTCTCTAGTCAGAAATTGAAATCTCATGGTTTTGTTCATGTCATTCTACTCTTCTGTTACCCAGCCTCTCCGTGAGCCCCCTTTTCCCCTTCTTTCCAGATATAACTGTAGACTAGCTCAATTGCCTGTAAAGCAAGTATTTTGAAAATCTCTCATAGTTTAAAACTTCATAATTCCAATATGGTATCAGAACAGAGACTTGCTCTGATTATTGACTGAGGTGGTACTGCCATCTCCAAGGCCATTTTATGATTTATATTTCTTGGCTGTTATATACACAGTACACAATATCCTTGACATCTGATCAAATTTTTAGAAATATTTTAATTCGGTTGGAACTTTTACGTTTATATTGCATATTCAATGACCATTTTAGCATTTTGAATGTATTTTAACTGCTGAATTAAAAACAAAATTCATATACTTTAATGTGATGCCATGTCATGTTTGGATAGCTGTATACATTGAATAATGTACAGCTTATGTTAAACATAGTAATTTATTCAAACAGTAATTTATTCGTTTTTAAAGATTTGTTTATTTTAAAGTGTTCTATCTGCATGAACACCTTTATGCCAGAAGAGGGCAGCAGATTCCACTATAGGTAGGTTATTGTGTTACACCATGTAATTGCTGGGAATTGACCTCAAGACCTTTGGAAGAGCAGCAAGTGCTCTTTACTGCTGACCTGTCTCTCCAACCCCACATTTATTGTTTTATAATGAAATTCTCAAAATAGTTTCTGTTTTTTGATTGTTGCTCATTTTTATGTATGTGAGTCTGCATGAGTACACTGTGCATGCAGTGTTTTTAGAGGCAGAAGAGGATGTTGGGTCCCCATGAAACTGAAATTACAAGTGACTTGTGAGCTACTATGTGGGTGCTGGGAACTGAAACTAGGTCATCTGCAAGAGCAGTAAGCATTATTAATGGCTGAGGCATCTCTCCAGCCCAGTGTTATGTGAAGCTACACAGAATGCTATGTGATAGAATTCCAGGGTTCTGGGCTTCATCAAACCATAGCTTAGTTCCCACTGATCGGTCTTTACCCATCTTCCTTCCATTGTCTCTAAGCTCTGGTAGTGAATTTTTCCGCTTCCAACTTGTATAAGTTGAGTTGTTTTGTTTTTTTGAGATTCCACACGTGAGTAGGATCATTTGGTACTTGTCTTTCTGTGCCTCCATTATTTTCCTTAAAATAAAGAACTTCAATTCCATCCATGTTGAACTAACAACAGGATTGTATTCTTTTCTCGGAAGAATACTATTCTATTGAATATATGTATCATGTTTTCTTCATTCTTTTATCATTTGCCGAACAGATTCTCTCCATGTCTTGGCTGTTGTGAATAGAGCTGCAGTGAGCATGGGAGTACAAGTGTCTTTGTCTGTGTCTCTGCGTTTCTGTCTCTCTGTATCTCTATCTCTCTCTATGTGTATAGACCAAGTCTTACTATGTATCCCAGGCTGGCCTCAAACTCATGATCCTCTCACCCCAGCCTCTCCTGCCTCCACCCCCCAATTGATGGCATTATAGATGGGCATTTATTTTTTAAAATCTTCCACAATTTAGAACTTACAAACTTTAATGCTGCATGTAAATTCAATTAATTACCCTGTATCATATTCCCTGTGCATATTATCTGTTAACATACCATACCATTGCAAACACAAGCATAATTCTTACTTCTTTTCTCTCCTTCAGAAAGCCTATTAATTCTCTGATTCATCGAAAATGTCATTATCTCCTTAAAGCCTTCCCTGTCTGGATAGAACAAATTACCTAACCTCTCCCTGCCCCTGCCCCGACAAACCTTTTTTTTTCCATTGGAAACGGTACCTGTGGTTTAGATTTTGCTAGGCAAGTTATGTACCACTGTACTTACGACATGTACTTCCTCGGGAGCTTCTCGTTCATATGTCACATCGCTTATTTCAGTATGACTTGCAAGCTACTCATATTGCACTAATATTGTAGTTAGTATGTGTTTAGCTGTCTTATTCATAACTGCTGTCACTGGACTTAGCACAGTGCTTTTGCAGGAAGATTGTGTAACTAGTTTCTGCTTTCTTTTTTCTTGAAGAGCTATTTTCTAAATTAATATCCTTATATTGTATTTTTCAAGTTAAAATTGAATTTCATTTTAAATCTATGATTGTGAAAATTTAAGTAAAAAAATTATCAATTGTATGATAGAGCAGTACCAATACTGAACACTGGTGCTTAGTAACATTTTTTCATTTTTATTTTTCCGTGTATTATAGTCCTATTTCTTTCAGTATGGTGTATCGGTTCCATGAGTGTAGAGATTTCTTTCTTTCATTGTTCCTATGTCTCTTTAGAGTACATAGGAACATAGAGTACTCTTTAGAGTACATATGTACTCTTTAGAGTACATAGGTGGCTGTTTTACCTCGTAATTGTTTATTTTAGGTCACTGGCCCTGTTCAGATCAGAAATCGCCCTGTGATGGCAGACAGAAGTAATATGACTTCACCACTCCTGGATGCCAGCTCAATGGAGAACCCAGCCCTGTTTAATGATATCAAGATTGAGCCGCCAGAAGAACTTCTGGCTAGTGATTTCAACATGCCCCAGGTGGAACCAGTTGATCTGTCCTTTCACAAGCCGAAGGCTCCTCTCCAGCCTGCTAGCATGCTGCAAGCTCCAATACGGCCTCCTAAGCCACCGTCTGCAGCCCAAGCCATTGTGGTGCCTACTTCATCTGACACAGGCACCTCAGCCACCATCCCTACTGTTCTCACTCCAGGCTCTATCCTGGCCTCCTCTCAGGGGACCGGGGGCCAGCCAATTTTACATGTGATTCACACTATCCCATCAGTCAGTTTGCCAAATAAGATGGGAGGACTAAAGACAATCCCACTGGTGGTTCAGTCTTTGCCTATGGTCTATACCAGTTTGCCTGCAGATGGGAGTCCTGCAGCTATTACTGTTCCACTCATTGGAGGAGATGGCAAAAATGCTGGATCAGGTGAGTGCAGGGTGTACAGCTTCCTTCAGTCATTTGCTTTCAGAGAGCTGCTTTTCTGAGCCATTCTATCGTGTCTCTCTTCACCTCTTCCAATTCTGAGGGGCACTGTTTCAAAGGGGACTTGTTTTAATTATCATTTTTTAAACATGGTTTTAAAATCATTTCTGTGTAATGCTTAAGAATCTATATGAGCCATGTGTTTTGGCACATGCCTGCAATCTCAGCACTTGAGAGGTTGGGGCAGGATGATTACGAGTCATAGGCTGGACTGCAAGGTAACCCAGCCTGGGTTGTTACCTAAGGGGACCTCATGAAAGAACCTATAATTGATCTCCTTTAGACCATGTTCTTAAACAGGGATGCATATTCTTGACTGAAATATTAGGTATCTTCCTAGAATCTTCATATGCCATTATTTGATATTAAAGAATTGAAGGCATTATATTGAAAATATTACTGTTTTAAAACAAAATGCTAAATTTGAACACAGTTAAATTATAAACTCAAAAAAATAGTTTACACTCACTAAGACACTGTCCATCCCTGTGACTTTCTAGGTTATTGTGCTATTTTTTTCTGTGCCATTAGGAGTGATTTGTTAGAAAACTCAATATTCCTTTAACACTACCATAACTTCAAGCTTAGCTCTGGCCTCTCCCCACAGCTTCCCTATTCTCTATAGAAAAGTCTCTGCAATATAGCCATGTTTCCTGGGCAGTCCTTTATATGATATCTGTGACCTTCCTTTTAAGATTTTATTTGATTTCAAGAGTGTGAATCCATTTTCCCTAACTGGTTTGGCAATTCTCAAGAACACTCTACGATGTGATTGTGTACCTCTCCAGTGACATCCACCACAGGGCTCCCTAGTAGTTGCTTAACCGTGGATCATTTGTTGAACAAATAAGGCTGAATATTTGCTCAGAAGAGTTTCATATACTATCATCTATCCATTTATATATGTTTTGTGGTACTGCTAGTTTAATTTGGGGTCTCACACATGCCAAACAAGTATTCTAGTACTGATACAGTTTCATGAGGTTACTCAGACTGTCTTTAAACATATTACTCATGCAGATTTTGAACTTAACATTCTTCTGCATCAGTCTATTGAGAAGCTAAGGTTTTAGGCCTGTGTCACCAGTCCTGTCTTATTTAACTTTTGAAGTAAGCTCAGAATTCAGAAAGTATAAATTAAGCCCCATCTTTCATTGTCCTCAACAACAGTTCCCTTTCTAGATTTACATTTATTTTAATTCATAATCAGAAATGATCAAAGAAAATCTGTTGCTTCTGACATGGTTTGAAATACTACAATCAGATTTTTTTTTGTTTTTTAGTTTTTTTCAAGGTGTAGTTTCTCTTTGTAGCCCTGACTGTCCTGGAACTAGCTCTGTAGATCAGGCTAGCCTTGAACTTACAATCAGCCTTGATTGTCATAATTGTTGGGATAATTCTAGGAATTCTCTCAAGACAGTCGGGACTATTCAGAGACTTCAGTGTACCTAAAATATGTTGAACCCATCTTTTCTGGAGACCGTTTACAAGGAGCTGGAGGAAGAGGGATGGATACATCACACTTAGATCGTGTCCTAGAGAAATTTGCATCCTGGTGATGCAAGAACAGTCTTGCTACCCTTCCTTCAAAGACGCTTCTGTCCCTTCTTATGCTACAAAACTTGTTTATTGGTTACTGTCTTCAAATGATGTTTTATCTTCTACTTCCTCATATGGGCCAAACCGGAAAACCTGAAAGTAATTGTTGAGGTAAAAATAATTGTAGAGGTGCATGCATCCTGGTCTACAGTACTCCCTTTCTTTGCTTTTAGTCAAAGTTGACCCCACCTCCATGTCTCCACTGGAGTTTCCAAGTGATAGTGATGAGAGTGCAATTGAGAGTGGATCTTCAGCCTTACAGGGTCTGCATGGATTGCAACAAGAGTAAGTACTTAAAGTGTGTGTGTGTGTGTGTGTGTGTGTGTGTGTGTGTGTGTGTGTGTGTGTGTGTGTGTGTGTACGCATGCGTGCACATATTGAGTTAGAATTAAACAGAACACAACAGTAAAAGTTTGAGGAAAACAAAATACAAGCTAACTGCTTTCCCTAAGAACTACATAAGTGTGTGTACATATGTGTGTATGCTCATGCTTCTTATGATAGAATTACATTCTAATTGTATATCATGATTCTATTCTTGGAAAAAAATCTTCTAATTTCCCAAAAAATATACTTTTGTAGTGTTTTACTCTGTAAGTTTAAAATAGCCTGGTATTCTAATCTTGAAACGAATCAGAAGCAATTAGCTTGCATTGAGCAAACATGTTATATGAAAAATGCATTTTGTTAAGCACCAGAGTGGCACTGGTTGAAGTGAAATGTTCACACTGTCTGACAACATAACTACTCAAGGAAAAATTACCATTCCCATGCTTTCTCAGGGAGCTACATTTCCTAAGTAGACTGGCCTACTTGAAATAATTATTTACATTGTTCCTACTATTTCTTCTCTTGGGGAGCTAGCATGAAATTTGCATAAATAGTAAGATGATATGAAGTACCACCACTGTAATTGGTCGTATATTATTTTCTTTGCTTAGACCAGCAACAATGGCCCAAATGCAAGGAGAAGACTCTCTTGACTTAAAGAGAAGACGGATTCATCAGTGTGACTTTGCAGGATGCAGCAAAGTATACACCAAAAGCTCTCACCTGAAAGCTCACCGCAGGATCCATACAGGTCTGTTCCTCAACCCGCCCTCCCCATTCCAGCTCCAGCACGTAGTTGTATACACATATGCTATAAGAGAGGAAGATAGGGGGAGAGAGAGAAAAGCTACAAGGAATAAAAGATCACTTATGGGTTTTGGCCCTGTTGTTGTTCTTATCCTAAAAGCAAAAACAGTCTAGCCAAACAGAAAGCCTTACTTGAAATTTACCTTTCAAGTAAGTATGCTGTTGTGCCTAGTTTTGCAGTGCTAGGTATTAAAAGCATCATGCATGATGTACAAGTACTACCAACTTAGTTACATCACCAGCCCCTTTGATTTTGTTTGTTTTCTTTGGTTGTTGTTTTTTTTGACGTGGGATCTTATGTAAGCAACCTCTGACCTCAAACTTACTATGTAGTTGAAGCTGACCTTGAATTTCTGATACTTTCGCCTCTATCTCCCAAGTTCTGGGATTTATAAACATACAATACCACATTCATCATATTTTTGAGTTTTGTTTAAGGAATCTCCATACTGTTTTCTATTTACTAGTTTACTTTCCTACCAGCAGAACATCAGTAATCTTTTTTCTCCATATTCATCTCTGTATTGTATTATATTTGTTTATTTATTATACTTGCCATTCTGGCCAGGCTAAAGTGGAATATAGATTTCTCTTGTGCATCTGTAGTGGCTGAAATCTGAGCATTTTCCATGCATTTACTGGAGCATTTGTATTTCTTCTTCTCAGTAGTGTGTGTTCACATCATTTTCCCATTTATTGATTGAATTACTCATTTACTGTTAACTGTTTTTGAGTTCTTTGTGTATTTGGATGTGAATCTTCTCTCATGCATAACTAGCAGAGGTTTTTCTCTCATTCTGTCAGTTATCAGACAGTTATTCTGTTGGTTATTTGTTTATTCTGCAGATGCATTTTAATTTTTATCACCCCATGTGTTACATCTTGATTTTATTTCCTGAGCTACTAGGGTCATTGAAGTATTTTACATATTTTCCTCTAAGAGTTTCAGAATTATGGTTCTAGCATTAGTTTCTGTACCATTTTGAGTTGAGTTTTGTTTAGTGAGAATTAGAGTTATATTTTCAATACTTCCCCAGCCCCATTTATTGTTAAGAATGATCTTTCCCCAGTATATATGCATTAGATACTTCTTATCATTTGAACTAAATATTTGAGAAAATCAGCTTGAAAGAGGAGAGATTTAATTTGGTTTCTGATTTCAGAGGTTTTAGACTATGGCCACCTGTCTGTTGCTTCCAGTGAAGCAGAGCACCATGGGGAAGAGCATGTCAGGGAATGGGGTGGCTCACCACATGGTGGCGTATAAGAGACACAGGGATAAACAAAGACAGGCCATGGACAAGATGTGCCTTCTGAGTATATATACCTTCATGCTGCCACTGATCTACTTCTTCTACACAGGCCCTGACTTGTGTTTTCCATCATTATGAATAATATAAAGTTTTAAGAGCATGAATGGATAAGTATTGAGTATAATCCTCGTAATCAAGTCATTTCTAGCATTACCAACTAGGGACAAGCCATCAACACATAACTCACACAACCTTTTGGGGTTATTTTGTACTGAAACATACTGGTTTTGTTTTTGTGTGTGTGTTTGTGTGTCTAGAATCAGATGATTATAGATGTGTGGATTTATTTCTGGGTTCTTTAGTCTATTCCATTAGTCTGTATGTCTGATTTTTATACCCAGTACTGTTGTTTTGTTGTTGTTACTATTGCTCTGTAGTATTTTGGAATACTTTCAGCATTTCTATCCTAAGCATTTTGTTTAAGATTGCTTTAGCCATTTAGGTCATTTGTGCATCCATATAAAGTGCAAATTTTCCTGGTGGTGGTGTCACATGCCTTTAATCCCAGCATTCAGGAAGCAGAAACAGGGGGATCTTTATGAGTTTGAGGACATGCTGGTCTACAGAGTTTCAGGACAGCTAGATCTGTCACACAGAGAAACCCTGTCTTGAAAAACAAAAACAAAAAAAAAAACAAAAAAAGAAAAGAAAATTAAAAGACTGCAGTACACATATATTTTCCGCATTGTTTTATTATATATTTTATAAGAAAATAGAGTTATGTTAGTGCTGGAAAGGAGGTTTAGGAAACCATTCAGGTTCATTGTTTATAGCATGGTGTTAATGATAATAAAGCGACATAGAACAATAATAACAGTATTTACTAAGTGTCGGGCTCTGCTTTTGTTTTTGAAGTATCATCTATATTTTTATTACAAGAAAAAGAACACTCAGGCTTGGCAGCAACAGCACCTTTACCAAGTGAAGAAGACCATCTCAGTGGTCGTGTTCTCTGTCTGTCTGTCTGTCTGTCTGTCTGTCTGTCTGTCTCTCTCTCTCTTTCTCTCTGCATCTTTATCCCTCTCTCTCCCCCTCTCTGTCTGTCCGTCTGTTTCTCTTGTCTTGTAATATTGCTGTGGATAAAATTTCAAGCACTGTATTTAAAAGGCATGTGGATTGTAGATTTATCTCTGTCTTATTTTTGTTTTACAAGAAACGCTTCCCTTTTCTCCTCATTCAGTATTATGCTGGCTATAGATTTGTTGTATATAGCATTTATCATGTTGGTATGTGACTCTCCTGTTCCGAATTCCTTCAAGGTTTATATGTTGAACTATATCAGAGTCCTATCCTGCATTTATTGAGATTATCATGGAATATTTATCTTTGATCGTATTTATGTACTGTGTTAGATTTACTGATTTGTGCATGTTGATCTATCCTGTCACACCAGAATGAAATTAAGTTAACATGGCTTATTTTTTTTGATTTGCTGTTTAATTCAGTTTGAAAATAATTTATTGAGGAGTTTTGTATGTTCATCAAGGCTGTTGGCCTGAACCTTGCTTGCTCACTTTTTGTTCATGTGTCCTCATCAGGTTTTGGTGTCTAGATAACACTGACCTTAGCTTGAATAAAAGATTCTTTAACCATAATAAAAAACAAAGATCTTGAAGTAAAAAGATGGACTTCTTCCTGCACTATTTTGTATCTGAGTGCTCTAGCAATGAGCTCAGATTGCCACATGGTGGCACTACTTTAACAAGTTGGTTATTATTCATTTAGATGTAGTGAAATAGGAATTCCTAGGAAAAAAATCCTTGAGCAATTACATTAAATCTATACATAGCAAAACTGTTGTAAAGCACTTGGCTGGCTGTGTGTCAGTCTTCTTAGAGGCTAATGTGGCAATTGAAATGATCAGTAAATAACATCTTTAATCAACCAAATAGTTTCCTGGTAATACTCCAAACCTGTGAACTGGACTGGACTCTATTCTGTGGTCCGTTATCTAACAGCTATACAGTTAATTAGTGAACACTTGAAGGGGTTAGTAGGCAGTAAGCAGTAAGTTAAAAGGAAAGATGCAAATCTGATTGCCACCAGAAACAGCAAAAAGTAAATGCCTTGGAAATTTTATAGTGGGGAAAGGAGGGATAGAAGAACAAAGACTGTTAGAATCCTAATACACTTTGTGTCTGCATTATTGCTTGTCTCTTAGTTCAAGGCCAGCCTGGCCTACAGAGTGATTTCCAAGACAGTCAGGGCTCCACAGAGAAACCCTGTCTTGAAATAAAGGTTTATTTATTTTTATTTTATGTGTAGGGGTGTTTTCCCTGTATGTATGTCTGTGTAACATGTCTGTGCCTGGTGCCACAGAGGCTAGAAGAAGGAATCAGATCCCCTAGAAATGGAGTTATTGATGGTGGTGGCTGGGAAATTGAGCCTGGGTCCTCTGGAAGAGCAGCCAGTGCTCAGAACCATTGAGCCATCTTTCCAGCCCCAATTAATTAACTTTTGCAACACAGTCTCACTTAGAAACCTAGTCTAGCCTCAAATTCTTCAACCTCCTACCTCAATTTCTTTAGTCCTGGGTTTACAAGTGTTTACTACCCTCCTGGCTTAATTTTTTGTTATAATATATGTGATATTTACCATATATGCTGTATCATGATTTTAAAGTAATCAAGCAGTACAAAAAGTTATTTTAAAAAGACCTCCTACCATCCTTCACCTTGACTTTTCTCATTGTTGATACTTTTCCTATAATTTTTATTTCAGTGTGTTGATGTTTCCTTTATCCCGAGTGTACAAATGTATGGTATGTGACGTATGCATATCATGGGATTGTGCTGTGGTAATTCTCCCTATACTAGGTTGTTCCATTTTTCTTTCTCTCTTGAACTTGACAGCTTTCCCTATCCCTTCCCTTGAATGAGTTCCCGACCTTACACAAAAGCAAGCATGCTTTAGCTGAGTGCTCTTTCCGTTGAGTTACACATTCTTATTGTAGATGGATTTATTTCAGATTATTCATTAGGAAGTATCCGATGAGAGAATATGGTTAGAACAGTGTTGTAGCATAGAGAGTGGCAGCCACCTGGATTTGTGTTCCAATTTGCATGTCAAATTCCGCCTACAGGCTCCAGTGTTTGAAAACTGGGCCCCCAGCTGCTTGTGCTGTTTGGGGGAGGTTGTGGAATTTTTGGCAGTTGGGGCTTGACTGTCGGAAGTGACTCTCCGGGAGGTAGGCTTAGAGCCCAGCCCCACTCTCTGTCCTCTTTTCTGCTTCCTGATTGATCTACAGAGATGTGAGTACACACTGAACTAAGCTCCTGACCAAATGGAGCCTCCTGCCACCCTGGCTACTTTGCCTTGGTGGACTGCATGCCCCCAAACCATATGATCCAGAATAAGTCCTTTCTTCCAGAACTTACTTCTTGCCAGGCATTTGGTCACAGAGAGGAGGAATGTAATTAATACAGTTAGTTTACAGTGCTCACTGGCAATCTGATTTTTTTTTCTTTTCTCTTTTGAGACAGTACCTCACTATATAGCCCTGCATAGCCTGGAACTCACTATGTAGACTAGCCTGGCCTCAAAATTGTAATATTTCTCCCGCCTCTCGCTCTTGAGTGCTAGGGTTGCAGGTATGCTTTCCAATGTGTGGCCTCCACTGTCTACCTTTTGAATGTTTTGAACAACCTTGTGAAATACTTTTGTCTCTGTTTAGATTTGAGAAAATAGACTTGGCCAGGGGAATGCTACTATTTACTATGTGGTTAGTGTGGTAGAAGCAGGACTCAAAGAGTCTTTGAGAGCCCGTGTTCTCTCCACTTTACCATCTCAGCCTAAGTTTAGACCTTCTGCACACAGCAGTGTGTAGTCAGGTAAACTTTTAGGTATCCTCACTACAAAAACCAGTAAGTATGTGAAGTAATGCTAATCAGTCAGATTTAACCAGTATATACATATTCTGCAACTTGCAGATGTTTATTTGTCAAACTAACTAATTAAAAAGGTGAATGAGAGTGCCCCTTCAAGGTGATTGTCATACTTTGGACTAAAGCCTCGATATACATACACATTATGTATTCTGCTATCTTTCTAGTAGCCAGTCATTTCCTGATTACCTTCATTTTGCCATGTTTCCCCTGCAGGAGAGAAGCCTTACAAATGCACCTGGGACGGCTGCTCCTGGAAATTTGCTCGCTCCGATGAGCTCACTCGCCATTTCCGTAAGCACACAGGCATCAAGCCCTTCAGGTGCACAGACTGCAACCGCAGTTTTTCTCGATCTGACCACCTGTCCCTCCACCGCCGCCGTCATGACACCATGTGAATATCCCAGGCCCCAGTGGATGTGCTGCGCTGGTCTCCTGAGTGTGTGCTGAGCTTGAGACTTACGTTTGCCTCTTTGACTACAACTTGCCCCTGTGATTGGGGTTAGAACAGCCTACTGAGCCAGGTTGATGAAACTGGAGAAAAAGTTAGCTGGTCTCCCATGAGGCTCTTCATATCCCGCTTTCACCTCTCCACTGTCCAGACTTCAGTTTTCTCAACCTCTTCCTGGGTTGAATTCTAGTGTGGCGCCCATGGTTGCCCTCCCTGACCCCTCATGCTATGTTAAGAGACATTTTTCCTACAATAACAAACAAAACAGGAATCAACTCAAGGCTGTGAACAAACATCCGCTGCTCCCCCCCACTTTTCTCTTGTTTTGTAATACTTTTATCCGTATATATACATATATATATACTGTAACCAGTACTTAAAGTTACTTAATGATGTCCTAAAATGAGGGATTTTTTTTCTCAGTCATAGGTACAAGGGGAATAACAGTGGAGTTGATTGGTCAGATTTCCAGAGAATTGAGTCTGAACTAGCGTCTCATTCTAAACCCGAAGGTTTTGTAGATCTAGTTTCACTTGTCCTTGCCAGTTTGGTTTACAGACAGTACCAGCCCTCCTTTTTGAAGTCCATCAAAGAAATGAAGGGATTTTCTCAACCTCCTCTTCCTCCTCATGCTCCTTTACAATTAAGGGTTTTATGGCACAATTACATTCTTTGTAGCTTAAGTTTGGACAAATATTCAAAGCACAGAAAACAAATCAGTAGGGAGAAGTATTTTAGGAAAATATGTCGGGAAGTGACAGGAAAACATAGACCTGGGAGGACCCTGTGAGCAATTATTTGGATAAGGTGTTAGAACTGCTGTTAATCCCAAACCTCATTCAAAGGGCAGCCTGTTGAAACGGTGCTTTCGATGGGCTACACTGTGCTGTTTATTCTTTTGTTTACATAAAGCAACCATCCAGTTATTACCTGAGAGAAAGTGCACACTGAGCATGTTATGCAGAGGTAAGGGGTTGCACTAGAGGAATCTGTTTACTTCATGCCATTTTTGGGCACTCATTCTTCTGTTTTTAATGGGATAGAAGAGATTTTCTTTCTGACACTGACATATAAAAAGCATTTTTAATGTTTTACAACTGCTATCAATACCCAAGCCTTTTATTTTAGACGTAACAGCAGGCTGCATAATATACATTCAGTTGCCCAATCAGACTGTTCCTAATATTCTCTGGGGCATAAAACCCTCTGTTCCTGGCCTTGGACCTCAGATCTACCTCCATGTGGTATATTTTCTCTCCTGGGGAAAAAGGAGAGGGGCTTTGTATCAGTGTAGGATTGGACACAGCCTCTTGCCTAAAGGTTGTCTTCATACTAAACCTTTTTTCTTGGCAGATATTTCAAAAGTTCTAGCTTGAAAACTTTAGGTTACTACCTCCTGTGGCTGTCCTTTCTAGCTAAATCCTAGAACTCTACCATCCAGAAGGGGTCCTGTCTGCTTCTACCCATCCCTCACATCTTACAGATGAGGCAAATACGGGTTAGAGTCTTTCTCCAGATATTTCCTTGAGGCCTTATAGACCTGTATACTCCTTCTCCCAGGGATCACACTAGTAAACCAAATTAAAGGAAAAAAATTATGCGATTGGTTGCAATATTTGTCCAATTTTATGTGTTATACTTCAGAAAACTTTAAATCACCCAAAATTCATACATAGTTGATGGCAAAGTAAGTAAAATGTGCTTATGGTCATTGCCAGTTAACATCACACACACAGTGTTTCTATTCTCATCTTTTGTTATTTCTGCCTTTTTTTTAATTTAGCTTGTTTTAAGGTTCAGTGTCTTTCCAGAAATAAATTATCCATAAGTTAAGGCCTACTTGTACTTTTCAAGATGATGTGTAGGTTTTACTATTATTTACTATTATTACTATCTTCATATAGGATTTTTCCTGATTTTGGGTATACAAGTTCTAAGCTGTATACTAATTATTAAAGCACTAGTAAATAACTAGGGCCAGTCTATTAATGGGGACCACATTGTATGGCAGATTGATAATTATATATTACTACCATGCATGGGCTTGAGCTTATAATTGAGTAGTTGGTACAATATTACAGAACAGAGTCCAAAGTGTTACCCACTTTTTTCCCACTTTGGATCCTAAGATTTGTTTTCCAGAGGTCAGAATTGGCATGTGCCCCTTAGACTTGAGACATACAGTTACAACATTTATATTGAGACATACATGTACAAGTGAGCTCTATCGAATTATAGTGCTCATAAGGGTGATCAGATTAGGATCCTAGATATTGATGTTCCTAGCATCTCTGAGCCTTTATTCAAATATATTTCTGCAGAGTGATAATAGACTTGTGCAAATGCTTGGTTAATTGTCTTTAGTCAAGAAACAGTTATAGCCCTACTCTCGTTGTCCTTTTTTCCAAAAATGGCAAAAATCTTTCTAATTAAAAACATACTCTTTAAGAATATGTCACAATTAAAATTTTCCAGAGTGAATAGATTGAAACACAGTACAGTGTAGAGTTACCACACCAAAAGCACATGCTAGATAGTGGTGTAGAAAGGAAAGGAAATGCATCTCTCTTGGTTTTAATTGAAGTTTTAACTAAGTTTAATGGGCATACAAGAGCAAAACACTGTTAGTATGGCATTTGCCTAGGATATGGAAATCTCATAGGGATGGATATTATTCAGGAATTTATTACAGTGGAATTCCTCCTTCTGTAGACGGTTGGCAGCTGAATATAATTACTGATAATTGCCATTGTAAAATATAGGAGATGTAAATTGGTTTGGATGGATTAGTGCAGTCCCTTATGTGCAGAAGAGATGTTTGCACAAAGAATTTCATTTTAAATAAAGTTTCCATGTTAGAACTGTTTTAGGTTTTCAGGCAAAAACAATGTGAAAGTAGAACAGAGCTCCTGCTACCCCACATCTTACATTAGTATGGCACACTACAATTAGGGAAAGAACATTGATACGTTCATGTTAACTGCAGTCAGTGCTTTACTCAGACTACCTTAGTTTTTATCCGCTGTCCTTTTTCTGTTTTAACCTCTCCTTTAAAATACTGCATTGTATTAATAGTCACAACTCCTTTGGTTGTGGCGGCATCTCAGATATCCTTGCTCTCAAGGACCTTGGGAGTATGTTCTTCAGTTGGAATTTATTTGCTATTTTTCTCATGAAAAGACTAAGTTAGTGGTTTTAGCCTGAACGTTACTATTTTCCTAACATCATATTTCTGTAACTTATTCTTCATGTTGGGATAGTATATTGAGATTTCTCCCATGTACTCCTTTTCCTCTCATCATCCAACACTGTTGGGAGGGAAGTTATTATTATATGAAGCCCACACATATGGAAATGGTGAGTTATGTACCATGTTTTTGAGAGCAAGTACTTACATACATTCTTTGGAATTCTTCTGCATAGGAGTTTTACCTCCTCCCCATTTATTTATTTACACAGTTGTTTATTTATGCCAACATGGACTCATTGATATTTATTTTATAGTTTATTTTATAATCTAATGCTACTTTTATTTTGTTGCCCAAATTGTAGCTTTGACTGTTAGGATCTCTTTTGAATTGACCCTTAAGTCTTTTTTTACCTATCCCATCAGGTTTTTTTTCACCATGTGCATAATTTTTAGTGTTTCAAGATGTTCCAGGTTCATCTTGCTTTTGTTTTGTGGAGGGCACTTTCATAATCAGGCATTTCTTCAGTAGCTCTAATTCCTTTTACTGAAGAATTGTATCAGAAACCAAGATCTGTGCACTATGTATGTTTGCTACTTTGGGGATATTATTTCTTCAAGGCCTTCTCATCCGATAGAACAAAGAAATATATGCATATATATTAAGTTTTATATATATATGCACATGTCTATAAACATTTCCATATGTAATCATTTTTATTAGCTTTATCTGAGTTCATATCATTGTCTTTAAGCCTTAGTTATTTGCATAGCGTTCCATGCTAATGGTGAGAACCATGACCCCACCTTCTGCCATTTATTAATCGTTGAAATCCAGTTTGTATACATATTAACAATGTCTTAAGTGTTATCCTGTATACCCATGAGAAAAATCAATTAACTAGAACCCGGTGCTTATGTACATGATAGTAACATTTTAGAACTTCAACAACTCTTTGAAACAGAATGGTCTACAAGATTCTTAAATTAGAGATACCTGTATTCTCAATTCTATCCTAGCCCCTAAAATGCTTTCTCATACCTGAAGCAAACCATTAGTGATTGACAAAACCTTGAGTAAGTCAAGGAAGCTTGTTGATCTTCCATTGTATGTTAATTGCTACATAAGGGATAAATGGGAAAGCAACTGCATGGGTCTAGTTTAAAGAAACACTTAGCACTGTCTTTTTCTCTATTAAATATGGATCTCTGACAACTGGGTGGTACCCAGATTTGCCTCTCTTCTCTATTTCCCCAGTTTTTAGGCAAGTCACATCACCTCTCTGTGCCTCTATTAACCCATCTAAAAATGGGGATCCACATATCTACCTCACAGGAGTGTTGTGAGGCTTCTTATTAATAGATGTTTAAAAAATGATGCGTGATCTCTAAATGAGCAAGAAAGTATTATAATCATTACTATGATGCTAATTAGAGTACCCTGTATTTATCCTATGGAAAGGAGATTAGCCCTCATCTGTAAACCAGTAAAATTTAAGTCAATGAGAAAGATCAACGAAGAGTGGCCACTGGAAGCAATATTGTTTGTTCTGTTACCCTCACTTTCCCTACATCCTCTGACTATAGGATTATCAACTTTCCAGACTCAAAAGGTATTAGGATCGAAAATAATAAGAGGCAAAATACATAGTTTTGAAATTATATTTTTCTCCCTTTCTTACTCTGGTTGGACTACATTACATATAACTTTGTCAGAAGCACAAAGACAGTTTCTCAAAGCTTTTCAGTCTTTGGTCAGTTCCGTTTCATCAGTTAAAATTTCTCTTTCTGCGTGTACTGTACATTGAACAGTAAAAGTAGGAGGGGAGTGGGGTGGGATGGTTGGGCTGGGAGTGGACTGGAAGAGAATGGAAATCACATAGGTGTTTTTCAAGCACTGGGTATCGCTTTGCATTTCCTTTTTCTGGTGGTGGGTTGGGGACAAGGGAAGAGATAACTATTTTGTTAAAAAATTCTCCTTCCCTTCCAGTAGATGTTTCCTAGGGTCAGTACAAATAGCTGTGTTGGACATTACTTTTATAACTATGTTGTATACAGTGCTGTTTTCATTGTATTCCTGAATGAAAAGGGAAGACAGTCCCTAGTGATGTTCATCCCTGTTTTTGACAGGAGGTCACAGCAGGAGAGCAGTACAAGAAACAGACTTTTTGTGGTGGGGAAAGGAGCCTGCAGTGAAAGGATTTATTGGAGTTTTGTCATTATTTAAAGAAATTATAAAACAGTATATTATGTATTAGTCTCTATAACTCTTCTGTTTGTGCCTCCTTGTTTTAGTGCTTTAGAACAGCACCTCTCTTCACTCCATTTTATACTTGTTCCTGTTCAGAGGTGTAATGTTGAGCACTCTCTCCTATCCGAGTTTGTTGTGTACCTGAAGAATCCCGAGAATTGCCTCAGTAAGCATGGCCACCCAGAGGTTCCTCTGTTGTAGCTCAGTGGGCACTCCCACTGCAGCTTCCAGGCAGGGTGTGTGCTTGAGTACTAAACAATCTTGTTCTGTCTGATTACTGTACTTTTTTAATAATAAAAATATTTTAAACCAGAAACCATTGGTTTGGTGTCCAGTTTGTCTTTTCATTGTATTTCTTCAGCATGGAGCAAGTAGCTCATTTTCTTTTTGAAATTCTGATTAAAAGAGTTGTGACAGAAGGTACTATGTAGTATTGGGTAGCAACAGAGGAAGCCAGACTGTCTCAAACAATTATTTTCTCTGTTTAAGTACTGGAGGCCCTCCCAATTCTTGCTGATATATTCAGACATACCCATGAATAGGGCTTGATGAAGATTGTATGCTATTTTTGTATTTCCTGTGTAGAATACCATAAGAGTTTGGGGGGTACAGATGCAATTGCCTACGTTTTCCTGCTCAGGTCCATTCTCCTTTGTTTTTACTTTTTTATTTAAATTAGAAACAAGCCTGCTTCATATGTCAGTCCCCATTCTCTCTCCATCCTCTCCTCACCCGCCCCCATCAGTCCCGCATACCATCTTCTCTCCACTCCCCAGGGAGGGTGAGGCACTCCATGGGGGAATCCCCAAAGTCTGTCATATCTTCCAGGGCAGGGCCCAGGCCTTCCCATATGTGTCCAGGTCGAGAGCACATCCTTCCACATGGAATGGGGTCCAGGTCTGTTCTCTTTGCCATTTTAGTTTTCTTTGAGAGGAAGTAACCAGGTAAAGGAGGGTATAAGGAGAACTTGAAAGTCCAAAGTCATCTAAATACATTGGTAGTCCTGAGCAGGCTCATGGGAAGAAGTCCATCAGAAACTTCTGTATCCAGAGAATCATTAGAAGAAAAGTAAAGGGGGCGGGGGGCGGGGGAGTCTGTGAAGGAGATGGAAGCCAGAAGTTGGAAGAACAAATTAAAAATGGCTGCTTTCAAGGCTGTCAGGATGGGATTTCCACTAAAGGTCCTAAAACTAACAGAGTTTACAGTTCTCCCTGCAATATTTGTTTTATGAGAAGAAAAAAATACTTTGAAAATACCATAAAAAAGAACTTTACAAGCCTAGCAGTGGTGGCACATGCCTTTAATACCAACAGGCAGAAGCAGGTGGATCTCTGTGAATTTGAGGCCAGCCTGGTCTACAGAGTGAGTTCCAGGATAGCCAGGGCTGTTATACAGAGAAACTCTGTCTTGAAAACCAAAAAAAAAATAGTTTGGCAGTCATTAAGGAAACAGGACTTGTAAGCTTTGATTCCCTCCTATCACAAGCACATAACAAATGGTTATTAGATAATTTCCTTATTTGCAAGTTCATTCTGTGTATATAGTCTTTTTTTTTGGTCATCTAATAGTCATGTAGCCCATTTCTTAACCTCCAACAGCTCCCACCAATATAAACATATCATTTTCCCACCTTCAGAACACTGATTCAGAGTTATTTTGAAACCTGTGCTCTGAAAATAGAGACCTCTAAGGCCTCAGATTAGAATGTTCACTTTTGCAGTTCCTATGTGTACACTTATTGTCATTACTTGTCAAGAGTGGATTAGAGATGACTCATCTCTACCGCCTGTACTGCCACCAGCACCTACAAGGACCTTCTTGTATTCTACCATCTCCCTGGTACTTTCCAGGTGTAAAGACAAGGCCTTTCATTTCTCAGCCTCTTTTTTATTTAAGGTTTCAAGTCTTTGTAAGTGCCCTTTGTTGCTGGCTACCTAGTAGGAAAATGGCCAATTTAGGCGTCTAGGAGAAACATTTTCCATCTAGATAAGTCGTCAGAACCTAGGGAAAGAATGGATAAAGTGTATGTCTGCAGTTGAAGGAATAGAGTCAATCCATATATAGTCAGTCACTCCTCAGATTGAAAATAAGGCATTCATTGCTCAGACCTTCAGAGGCCACCACATATGCTCACCATATCTTGGTCCCCTTCCTGCAAAGTGGCCTCTATCCTGTTTCAATGCTAATCATATAATTCTTCTCATTTGAAAATTATTTTTTAATTTTTGAAATTATGATATAATCACATCATTTCCCCCTTTGCTTTCCTCTTCCCAAACCCTCCCATATATATTCCTTCTTGCTCACTTTTGAATTCATGACCTTGTTTTTATTAACACTGTTTCAAGTTTAAATGTAAAAATGCTTAGAGAAACACAATTTTGGTGAATGTTCTCTTAAATGGCTTTTGATGTCCATTTGGAAGAATTTCTCTAAGGAAGATAACCAGGGAATGGAATCCTGGTACATAGGACATTTTTTAAAAATATTTTTTAATTTATTTTTATCTGCATTGGTGTTCTTCCTTCGTGTTTGCCTATGTGAGTGTGTTGGATCCCCTGATACTGGAGTTACATACAGTTGTGAGCTGCCATGTGGGTGCTGAGAATTGAGCCCAGATCCCTTGGAAGAGCAGCCTGTGCCATTAACCATGTCTATCCCAGACATTTTCCCTTTAAAACTTAGCTTAGCAATATAAAGTATTTCAATGCAATTGCATCAATTTATATTTCTACTTATAATGTAAGGTTTTTAATCACAGCTCTGATAATATGTTATACTTTGGTTTTCATTTTAAGGGTCAAATCCAGGGTACTATTGCTGGGAACAGAAGACCATAAGAACTAGTTTAGATAGGTAGACAGACAGACAGACAAGCAGACAAGCACAAACAGACAGATAACGTATTATCTGGAGATCTGGTATGAATAAGCTATAACACAGCTGACACTGGACGTATTGGGGGCTATGCGTCACTATCAGTGGCTGACACTGAAGGTCCATGGACCCCCAAAGTAAACAGTTATATATAATCTGTTGGCTGAGTTCCACTTTTAGTGATCCTATACAAATATGTCTTTAAGGTCAGACATATGAGACTTTGCCTTTGCGCCTAGCTTCATGTGGCCTGTGTGTTATTCCGTGTGTGTGTCCATGCCCACATGTGTACAGCCTGTGTGTACCTGGGTGCCTGCTGGTGTTTGCCTGCCTAATGGATATATCTTACCACTCTATGACTGGTCAAATTCTCCTCAACCTCCTGACCTCTCCCGACCATCCCCCTTCCCTGGTGTTGAATCATGGGTCTCACAACAGCAGGTTAGATTCCCAGCTTGCCTATCCTATGTTTTTCTTTTAAACTAATAAACTTGTCCTTGAGTTTTCTTTGAAGTGTGTTTTAAGTATTTTTTTTATTCATGAGACTAAGAGCCTACAAAAAGGATTCTGTGTTCCTGATAACAATACCTGCTAGGTATTTGATACCTAGCAAAATGAATTCCTTTAATTTCTGCATTTTTTGTCAACTTCACGGTATGAAAAATATGCCACTGGCTTCCACTAGCATTTCCTTGATTCCCAATGAGATTTTTTTCCACAGATATCCATTTGATGTCTTCTATTAAAGCATCTGTTGAAAACTGCTCCAGATACCTGCTTCCAAGCTAGAAATACTTAGTCTCAAATTACTGCGGATGTTAGTAGGAGGTACATATGATACCGTTTGTTTTGGCTGGATATATAATCCACAATCTAGAGTCACCTGAGAGTCTAAATTGAGTTTTCAAGACGAGGTTGGCCTGTGCACATACCTGTTGGAGACTGTCTTGATTGTTAATTGTCCCAGCCCATTATGGGCAGCACTCTTCCCTGGCTGGGTCCTGAAATGTATAAGAGTGAAGAAAACTAGCAAGCAGATACATTGATTTCCCTCTGATCTTGATTGCAAATGTGCTATAACTTGCTGCTTGAATTCCTGCCTTGACTTCCCCTGGAAGTCTATAACCCCACTCTTGCCTCTCCTATGATGTTTTTGGTCAGAGTATTTGTCACAGCAACAGAAATGAAACTAAAACAATACATCTCAATGGATTCCTCTCCAAAGCATGCTTCCTCAAAGGTACATGCCCTTCTTTCAGATAGCTTGTAGCTTCAGAACTTGCTTTTGGATTTGTCTGAATCCTTCATTGTGATTATATTGAAGTTCTACATTGCCTTCTATACTGTTTTCTCTAGTTCCCTATAGATACTCATTCTGACAACATATCCCAATTTTTATTTTTATTTTTCTAAAGCAACTATTTACATTTTTTCAAATTTAAACACAGATTCCACCTAGAACTAATTTTTACATATGATAGGAGAAATAATCTAAGAATTATTTATCATTCTATATGGATAAACATTTTGTCTTAGCACGGTTTGTTGAAATTATCATTTTCCCACTGAAAATGTCACTTCTGTGATATTAAGTAATGCAAGTCACTATGCCAGGAGCTCCATTTCTGTTTTGATGATGCATGTGGTAGTATTCATAATAGCTGTATAATAAAGGTTGGTGCCTGGTGGGGAAACTCTCATAGTATGTTTTTATTCTTTAAGTCATTGGTTTGGTGATTTATATTTTCAGTGTTCTTTACCAAGCTAGCTTTTCTTTGTAGGATGAATTCACCTTGGCTGCATTTTATACTAAACACTGTTAGATGTCTTGTAGTTTTCCACTTCAGTCTTCCTTGAATTTTTGTCTTTGATTCTTTACTTTTTAAAAGATTTTTGCACAGTGTGGTGAACATAGTTAGCAGTAGTGTATTATGCATTCCAAAACTGCTAAGAATAAATTCCAAATGTTCTTAGCATAAAAAAGGTTTGAGGTAATGCATATGTGAATAAACTTCATTGAATTATTCTAAGTTATGTTTGTAAATCATAATATGACTTTGTACTTTATGCATATGGTCTTACTCTATAGTAAAGGCTAGTCTCACATTTCTAATCCTGCCTCAGCATCCACACTGCTGGGATTACATGACTGTATCACATTGCCTGCCCCCAGCTTCCCCTCCCTCTCTTCCTCTCTTCCCTTGCCTCTCTCCCTCTCTCTTCTCTATGTGTACAAAATCATTGCCTCATTGTGTAACTCTGGCCGACCTCCAATACTATCCTCATGTGTATTGTAGTTACAGTCATGTATCACCACACCCAGCTCTTTTTAAATTGAAACATGTTTACACATCTTTATGGAGTATATTATGGTAATTCAATAAATGTACACAATGTGCAAAACAGATCAAGGGTTAGGGAGACTATTCTACACA